ACCTAGCCAAGAAGCCTTGAGAACAAGTGGCCAGTGAGGCAGTAGTAAATCGGGAGAGCGCAGAAGCCAAGAAAAGTGTTTCAATTAAGAGGGTGATCAGTGCTATCAAATGCTGCTGAGAGGTCAAATGAGACGTGGACTGAGGAGAGCCAGTTGGCTTTGACCATGTGAAAATCACTGGTAACCTTGGCCGGAGAGATTTCCAGAGTGTGTGGTAACTGGATTCTTCACCTCTCCCTTCTTTGGCTGCCAGCCCCTGGGTCCTGGCTACGACACCGCCAGCCCCACCTCAGGACAGAGAGAAACCCCTGGGCTTCCCTGGCTTGGTTTCTGCCACCACACGTGGCCATGGAGTCTTTTGTCAAATGTTTCAATGCTGATGGCATTTATAAAGATAATACCACATTTTTATTGTTCAGACGTACTAACTATCTGTAGGAGAGGACAATGTCTCAATTATAATATTTGCCCCTGAACATGTTTTTGAAAATTCCACATGTACTAGAGCTTTAATGAGAGATTTGAATGAGAGGTTGAAAGATAGGACAAGACCCAGTGATAGGCAAGTGACAAATATGAGTCTGTGAACCTAAGTCTGTTTCTCCAAGTAAATGTGCCCTAGACAAATAGGGTTTGTTTGGATGGTTTCTTTAACCTTTCTGAGAGGTTAAAAAAAAAGAGCAAAATAAACATGAAGAGGGAGGAGTGAAAACCTCTCCTATATCAAAATCATACCACTTGAAAATCCACTGAATGTTTGTTCAGAGATAAAACATTTGTCGTAATGATTCTTTCATTCCTTGGGTAAAACTGCAACTGGGTTGATGTACGCATGATGATCCTCGCTCGGACTGTTTGCCTTGGCAGCGACCCCTCACCCACTGCCTGCTGAGCTCCCAATCTTGGGGGCAATGCATGCAGGTTCTCTCGTAAGCTCTGTGTTAGCAGCAAATGGTGGCGGAGTCAAGGTAAGGGGCTTCTCCTCCCCTCCCCCTCCTGGGGCAGCCTCCCCAGCAGCCCTTGCACCTCCTCTATGGCTGCAGCTCCCACCAGCCTGGGTCAGGGGCTGGGGGTACCAGCTGTTGCTGCTTGTTTTTTTTAACTCAGCTCTTCTATCATTTTCCAGAATTAAGGTTCCTCTGGTTTAAACACACAGGTGATTTCTGTTTTTCATGTATGGGTTTTCCTCTACTGCCGTGATGTCCATTTCTAATGCCCAAATATGTGAGTTAGCAACTACATCTCCCTGCTTCCTGGTTACAACAGGAGGGAGAGGGTGGGTTTACAGAATTTCATAGACTTTCAGACCTCATTTGTGTGGTGGTTAAAACCTTTGGCTCTGGCTTGAGAGTAGCTTAATGTTGTCACTTGCTAGTTACCATCCCCAAGCTCTCTAAGCCGTCTCCTCATCTGTGATATGGAGATAATTGCTCTGCTTCATACATTCGTGATGATTGAATCGAATATTGTGTTCAAAGTACTGAGGACAGTATGTACACGCTGCAAGTGTTCTGTGAAGAAAGCAGTTATTCATTACAAAGTCTCCTTTTTCCATAAGTGAGTCTTTGCAGTTCTCGTTACTCATGCCAGAAGCCAGACTCGAAGTGAGGACAATCATCTGCTGGCATTTCACCTCAGAGGGCACGAAACCAAGTCCTTCACTTGTAACAGGGGGGTGTGCCAGCGGGCTGCAAGGGGAGGTGGTAAAATACCCTCATGTGACTGTACATGAAGCCCTGCCACGGCATCCACCTTGCTTTTGGCCCTATTTTCCATCATTGGACCTATAGTTGTTCTGGGGTAAGATGCAGGAAGGTAAGAGTGGGCCTGGTTGGTATAAATCTTAATTGACGGATCGACCGTCCTGCTGTCAGGCTAGAAGGGTAGGATTAGGCTAACCGAGCTTGCACTGGGGACTGGCATTAAGGACTCCTGTTTGCCCTGATTCTTTTCACTTCCCTATCTTTATGTCCTCTTTCTTTTCTGAAAGGTCAGAATAATTCCCAGCACCTTCATAAAACTTTCTCTGTTTTAAAGAAATTGTGTTTGCAGTGGTATACATCTACTCTCCAGGTCCCCAAGCAGAATTTCATAAAAAAGACCTCCTCCAGGCTCTTTTCCCAAGGAACACCCCGCCAGGCAGCACTGGGGAGCTATTGGGCTGTGCCTTTCTTTGGCTTACGACCGGTTTCATTAACAGGCATGTTCACACTTCCACCAGAACATTCAAAATAACACCCGCACAATGTGTTTAGTGTCTAGTTAATTATTAAGTCTCTGAGCTTGAATTATTCAAGCAAAATTGATTGGGTTCAACCTTCTTCCTTCTCTTTGTGTGTGTGTGTTTTTTTTTAAATAAAGATAAGTTTTCCCCTCTACTCTCTAAACAATGTGGTAAAGGTTATTATGCAAACATCAATACTCTGGACTGTGGGTGGTACCAAGTGCTAACAGAATAGGTAGAGAAAGGACTGGCAGCTTGATTCTTTTATTAAGAAATATATCTGTATCTCATTTACTGTTAATTAGCATTTATGGGGACCTAACACGTTTTGGGTTTTCTTGTTTAAAGTCTTTTTTTATAGTTACTTCCAAGTTGGATAACTAGGTATCTTGGAGCCAGTTCTGCGCTATAAAAGCAGAAGAAATTGCTTCTTTTTTTCTTGCTACCCTGACGCGTGGTCTAATGAAAGTGTGAAATTGTCTTGGCTTCACTGTTAAAAACCATGTTATGGAAGAATATTTGTTGAGAAGAGGTTCATATGTTGCTAAGTGAAAACAAGAGGCTATAAAATTGTCTTATGTATCATTTAATTAAAATTGCATTAAAAAGCCTTGAACAAGGAATGCCAAACTACTGATGTTTATCTGTTAGGAGTAAACTTTTCTTTTTGCTTTCCTATTACTTTTATAATTAGACAACACACATATAGAGACGTCACATCTAGAAAGGATTGATCTTTTGTCTGAGTCTCAGTATCAATCATGTGTCAGGAGCACGTTGGACATAATGCTGTCCTTATTTAAGCCAGGCGAGTGTCGACATGGCAAGTGGAGATTTTGCAGAAAAAAAAATTGCAATATTTTGTGAATCATAGCAACTTGAATAATTTGTGAGCTTTAATTTTTAGACTTCATTCCTAGACCTTCATTGCTAGTTCTTCCTCAACTTTCATATTAAGATGTGAACAGATGCACTTCTGGGCATCAACATAGAAAACTGCGTGATGGGTGTTGGAAAGGACTAGGAAATAATTGTAGTTTGGAGAAAGGTGATAAGGGAGATGACCGTTTTGAGGAAAAGACAGAAATGCAGTGACCCGGTTTAGTAACACATTTAAATATAGGACCTTCCACAAGAAATTTATTGAGAGAGCTCTTCTAAGACCAAGACTGGAAAACCCTGGAAGGCCTAAAATGCATCAGGGTTGGATGATTTTGCCGTTGCTGCCCGGTTGCTGCCCGGTGCCATGGGGTTGAGGGGAGGGTGTACGCCAGCGCAAACAGGGGGTGCAGGTTTGCTCGTGGTGTTGAACTGTCCTGACTCCCATCAGCTGATTCGCCTGTAGGTGGTAACCTTGGCTGGGGATAAACAGGCAGCAGCTGGAATAGTTCCGGAGAAAACCCGGTGCTCCACGTAGGGAAACTTTTGGGAATAGAGATGGGGAATTCTGTCACACACTCACGACTTGGATGGTAGCGCGTACCAGTCCGTCGTATTTGTCCTGCGAAATGACACAAGCGGCGGTGTAACTGGACACCCAGGAAATAACTCCGGAGTGCCCGAGAACTGAATTCGGGGGTGTGGGTGGGGAGCAGGTAAGGGCGGCGAGAGGCACGGTCTTCTACGGTTCTGCCGGGAGTGCAGAGCCGTCGGCCTCGGGGCCCCCTTAACCAACGTGCGTCGCAGGTGGTGTCTCCGAGGGCGAGGGAGAAGCCCCGCACCGCGGTCCGCACGAGACGCCTCGCGAACCGGGGAGCGCGGCGAGGCGGTGGCGCAGTTCCCAGCCCGCTCCCGGGCCGCCGCCGCCGCCGCCGGGGCCTCCCCAGTCCTCCCGAATCCCTGCATTCCACGCCGCCGCAGCCGCAGCCTCGCCGGCCCAGGCGGCCCCCACCCTCCCCCCAGGGTGGCGCCCGCGCCCGCGCCCGCGCCCGCGCCCCTCCCAGGGCCTGGGCTGCGCTCCGCTCGGCCGCAGAGCGACCCGGCCGGGCCGGCGGGCGGGGGCGGGGCGGCGCGGGCGGCGGGCGTGCGCGCGCCGGCGGGGGGCGCGGCCGCCATATTGGATCCGGGCGCCGCGCGCGGCGGGGACGGGAGCCTCGCGGAGCCCAGGGCGCGGGCGCGAGAGCACCGGGAAGGCGGGGGAGGGGTGGGAGGGAAAGGAAGGGAGTGGCTGCGAGCCGGGCTGCGGCAGCCTCTGCTCGCCTCGCCCGCGGCGGCAGACCCTCCTCCGGCGCCTCGGCCGCCTCCCTCCGCGCCGCGGAAAGATGCCCTTCACCCGGGGGTGTGAACGAGAGGGAGAAGTCGCTGCCGGAGCCGCCCGCGCCGCCGCCGCCGCCGCCGCCGCCCGTGTCCTTTGAATCCCGAGAAGCACCCCCGCTCCAGGGCGTCGGGAGCCTCGGCGGGCGGCCGCGGTGCGGGTGTGGGGAAGACCGGGCTGCGTGCCCGGCGCGGCCCAGGCCGGCCGACCGGCGACCACCGACATGGGGCGGGCTCGGGCGGCCAAGTAGCCGCTGCTCCCGGAGCCCGGCGCCCAGCGCCGCCCGCAGCCCGCGTTTCCAGCCCCGGCCGCGCCGCCAGCCAGGCCCCTGGGAGAAGCCGGGAGAGAAATGAAGAGTTGTCCTCCGAAGCCGTTGGAAATGGGACTGACTGCAAAGCCTTAAAAAGCGGGAGCTCGGGAGGAAAGAGGAAAAGGCTCCTCCGGGCAAGACTTGGCGTGCACCGGGCCGAGGGGGCTGCTTCAGGGACTCGCCCCCTCCCTTCCCGCTGGAGAAATCGCCGCTGATGCATCATCCAAGCGGTGGTTGGGAGGATTTGCAGCCGAATTTTTGGTTTTCCCTCCCCCTTACATACATTCTGGCCTTTTCCTGCCTTTTCTGTTTTCCTTCTTCCTGGGAAGTGAATTGCTGATGCAGATCGGACTTAATTCATTAATGATGCAACCGGATTCGTTTCAGGATTATGTTGCACGAGTTGAATTTTGAATGAAGGAGAAGAGTTCCCCCCGCCCCCCCTTAAAGAAGTGTTGACTCTTTGGTTCGTTGTACTTTTAATTATTATCTTATTTAAACATACGATTTAATTGTATTCTTTAAAATGTATCAAATATATATTTTATGGTAACTGTCCCTCAGAATATATGTATATGTGCGAAATTGAAGACGCTTCAGTTAAGTGAGGGTACCGGTGTGTTGGATGTTTAATTCAGCACCGGCATTGCGTGACAGTTGTTTGAATAACAAGTGGTTTGTTTTTAAAACCACACCTTTTAAACTTTAGGTTCAAAGAATCAGAGTAGGAGTCATTAATAATAATTTAAAGGAAAACCAGCAGAAATCGAAGCCAACATGTCTGGAGAAGTGCGTTTGAGGCAGTTGGAGCAGTTTATTTTGGATGGGCCGGCTCAGACCAATGGGCAGTGCTTCAGCGTGGAAACGTTACTGGATATACTCATCTGCCTTTATGATGAATGCAATAACTCTCCGCTGAGAAGAGAGAAGAACATTCTTGAATACCTAGAATGGGGTAAGTTTGGATTTAAAAAGAACTCCTCAGCTCGACATTATGGTTTAATTGTTAAAGCGAGTTACCATGAGTAAACTCGGGGTACATAAACGTAGGTATAATCTACAGTGTATAATATATAATATAGTATATATACTATCTTACCATAATAGGTAGTGTGTGGTGTATACATATTTAAATATATACACAATAAAAGAATAGATACGAATTATTCAAGATTTCCCCCCCTAGTTTTTGCTAAATATTTTCCCAAGAGCATGACCAGGCTACTCAAAGGCACTGTTTAATGTGGAATTTATGAGAAAGAACTGAATGTTTTTAGGTCAGCAGTAAGAGCTTATGAATAATTCTGTGATAGGCAAAAATGGATGAATGCTGGTGGTATAACAGATATTCAATGGAAAGGTATTTATCAGTGGAAACATTCGTTCCCAGACTCTGGAGATCACTCTGGAAATGGGAGGAGATATTAACATATCTTACGTCAACAGGAACTTGAAGATAGTTATCGGTGGGTTTTATTTCATCTCCATGTAGTCCAAGCAGAGGAACTAGTGAACATGGACTTGCCATAAATTGTCATGTTCGTGAGATAACATGACATAAAGATTTAAAAATTTTGTGATAGTAGTTGGGAAAGAATGCTTGGGAGCAGCTCCTGCTTGAAAGCTTGATTTACTCTACATTTAACGAAGATCTGAAATGGTTCGAGTTTTGTCTTCATTCTCCTAAATATAGAAGTGATTTGGAAGACCGACTCTAGTGCAGTGGATCAGTGATGAGAGCAGACGCTCCCATGTGACCTTCAAGCTCCAGGGCTTGGCTTGAAGTTCTGTGTCCGACGTTACAAGTCCATTTAAACATCCAGCTGTTTTCTGTTGGGAGAGTACACATCCTCACCCACACCTGTGTGGGTACAGTGGCTTTTGAAGGATATTAGCCAAAGTACTGTGTTTTGTATCTTTGAATACTAACACTTTTAGTTTGTTAAAGAGTTCTGATACAAAAATGTCTTGGTTCTCAAGTAAGCTTTATTTTACTGCAGTAAAAGTCAATGGGTGATTATTTTGTATTTTTTAATTGAAAATTTATTAAAAATTAGCTTGTCAGGTAAATCACTTAAGATTGCTTGCATTTATATATATAAATGTATATATATATACACAGTGTGCATATATATAAAAATATGAATAGTGTGGTTTTTTGAAACAGGCTACCATACTACTAACTGGGAACCTAAGAATCCTAAACCATCTTTCAAGTCAAGTGATTTCTTTCTCAAGAATGAGACAATTTTTTACTTTGGTACTGGTATTGTTATGTCTTTTATTTTTATTCGTGGAGTAAATTTTTTTTCTATAAAGTTACGTAGTTTAACATCTCATGTTTTATAAATTTAGAAAAAATTTTGTGGTTTTTGGAGCTTTAAAGAAAAGTTTCTGGTACTTTTAGAGTTTCCGTTCTTGCATAGTGGTTCGAGAAGTCTGTTCTGATTTTGATTGTCATTTAGTACCTGTTCCTTGCTTCATTATGACAAGAGAAAACCGTATGCTCAATTACCTTTTGGTATTAAGAGTTTACATAGTAGTTTTATGCTGTGAGATATTTTGCTGTATAGTATTACCAGAATAATTTATGTATATTTTCCACTGAATATGTCTCCTTGGGTTTTGTTTCATGTATACATATAGGAAAACCCCTTATCTATACATATTTAATTTAAGCCAAATAAGCCAAAAGTCATATAAATATTTGGCCAAATGCACTTTATTTTTTATTAGTATACTTGAAATAATTTCAGATCAGGGACTTTTCACAATTTAAAACAAATTAAGTTTCAGTAGTATGCTTCACATTTTATCTTTTTAAAAGTCTGATAAGACATAACAAAATGTACTCTTTTAAGAAAACTATTGTGTTTCTTAGTGGTAGAGAACAAGAGACTAGCATTTTAAAGGGATTATTGTGCACACTTCGGGGGTCAGCAGTGTATTAAGTCTCAGGCATGTTTAAGTTGGGAGTATGAGATTTTGAAAGTGGGAGTTCTTAACTACAGAAGTTTGGGTAAGGAGGAAGAAGAGAAGTGTAAGAATGGGAGAAGCTGTCGAGATGTGCCGTGAGCCGTGGTACTTCCACTATCTAAGTTATTTGAGAATTTAGGTTATTGAAGAATGCTGGTCTCTTCAATTCATTTAAGTATTGCAGTAGATCAGCTGCTCTTCATTTATGGATTCGTTACTACATTTTGGGGAAATATCCTATTTTTTTCTTGCCGCCTAACATTAAATAAAATTGATTAGATTAAGGAAGTTTCCAGATAAATTGAGGGCCATTCATTAAGTTTTGAACCATCATTATTATTTTTGGTCTGAAATGGAAATTTACAGGGATTAAATTTGATAACTTAGATTTGCCGTAATGTGGTACAGTTCTTAGTTTGAGTTTTGAAAAACCCGATATTTGCAACAGGAGAGCAGTAGTAGTCAAGTACTCTGTGCTGTATGCTGTATATTTCTGTTTGGTCTTTATGTTAATGCAGGTGTCATCTAGATATTCCTTATTTTTATGCTGATGATAGGCTTCTTTTAAAAAAGGAGTCAGCCAAGATTCTGTCTGCCTTGTTTCATTTCCATCAATTTCACTTTATTTCTAATTTATGGTCCATTTCACTTTTACATTGTTACAGTTAGCGTTCATTACAGTGTCATGATAATAAGAAAACTGACGATTCAAGTGCGGTATATGCATTTGGTAGCGTTCCTTGCTCTTGATGCTGATGGCTGGAGGGGGAAAAGAAGTTGAGCTCTGGAGAGGAAGAGGAGATTAAGCCCGTGAGCAGCAGAATTCAGGGACCAGGCTTCCTCATGGCCATAGGTCACTTTTAAATTTAATAGTATGTTTTCCAGTTACAGCCAGTAAGAACAGAAGAACTGTGTTCTGTCTCCTTTGTTTTTAAGTTGTCAAAATGATTGTGGTTTGTATGTTTGTTCATAAAATTAGAGTTTTGATGTCAGTAGTATAACCCTAGAATGTTACAGTAGAGTTGTAGAAGTAAAAATAACTTTTACATTATCAACTCTTTTGCTAGTAAGAACCAAATGAGTACATTATTCATTGACTTGGCTGCCCTCTACTTTGAAATGGGAAATTGGAATTTTAAGGAACTCTTTACCAATTTACTTAAAACATAGATGTTAAGGTAGTATTACTGAATACGAAAGAAGCATTCTGGTTATCTGTGTGTGTATAACTGGTTTTGATGCTTCCTGAATCTTGGACTTTGTAACATTTCATTTACATTAACCCTAAATAATAATAGTTTTATAGCTTATTCAGTGTATACATGCACACTAGTCTAAACAATGAATAAACTTGTTATAGAGTACATCAGCAGGTGCTATGATTTAAACTTTTCCTTTCATTAGCACAGTTTTAAAGATTATTCACATTTTTTTCTTGTTTGCGTTGATTAAGTGAGATGATGTGTTGGCGTGATCAGAAGGCTCTAAGTCTTTTCTAGGGAACTTTGGTCTCCACGTCTGCTGTTCCTTGTTATTAGCTTTTCCTGAGTAGAACTTTAAAATCATGCCAAATTGTCAACATGTTCATTTAATACAGGTGATTAAGATTATTTTTATTGTCTTGGCCGGTGTGGCTCATTTGGTTGGAGTGTTGTCCCTCTAAACTGAAGGGTCACGGGTTTGATTCCCAGTCAGGGCACGTGATTGGGTTGCAGGTTTGGTTCCCATTGGGGTGGGTTGCGTATGAGGTGACCGATCACTGTTTCTCTCTAACATTGATGCATCTCTCTCTCTCTTTCTCCCTCCCTCCTCCTCTCTCTAAGATCAATGAGCATATCTTCTGGTGAGGATAAAAAGTTTTTTGTAAAGATTTTTATTTAAATTCCCAATTAGGATCTTTATAAATAACATCAGAAATTTAGGTTGGGAACTTTATACTGTATTTCCTTTATACTAGCCACCTAATATTCTCTTTTAAGACAAATAGTGAATAAGTACAGTGATTTGATTTAACACAATGTTATTTTTAAGTATCTGTTGCTCTGTGAGTGAAAACAAGGAGGTCAGGGTTAACACCGAGAATTTTAGCAGTGTGTTTATTTTATGTGTAAATGTAAGGCATACTTGAGCATAGCAGTCTAAAAACAAATAGCATAATACATTGCAAACTTTATGAAATAGCCCATAGTTCCTAGAATTTGATTAATATCACATAGTAATCCCAGGTTATTTTATGGTAAAATAACTGACTTTGGTGCAAATTAATATTTTATTGTACTATTCTATAGCAGTCAAAGCATTTCTTCTAAAACCTTTTCTCTCTGGTGCACTATTGACAGTACATTGTGCAACATATGTAGCTCATTGATTTTCATCTTTTTGGTTTTGATTAGTTTGAAAGTCCCATCAGCATTTAAAAAATAGAGTAAAATACAGGACTTCTGGCAAGATGGAGGAATAGGTGGACGCACCGTACCTCCTCGCACAACCAAGATTAGAACAACAACAATTTACAGCTAGAATAACACTCAGAACTGATAGAGGATTTATCTGAATGGAAGTCAGACAGCCAAGAAGTTGAAGTAGACCCGTACATCCAGACTGGTAGGAGACGACGAGCCGGGCATGGGTCGGCGGCACGCGGAGGTCGGGGAAAACTTGGCGCAAAATCGGCGCGAAAGCCATCCGGCGTGCAAGAACGCAGTGTACGCAAGTGGCAGCTGGCGGACCCAGTGAGGCGGCGATTGTGGACCAGGGCAGAGCTCGCAGCCCAGGGTCCCAGAGAAGGGACTGAGGTCCCAGGAGAATGGAACTACCGCCATTGTTTCCCCCTGCCCCCACGTATAACGTCACTATCTCGCGACTGGGGTGCTCAGCCCCTGTGAACACCTAAGGCTCCGTCCCTCACAGTAACAAGAGCGACCAGACCACAAAAAAAAAAAAAAAGCAATGGCTCAAATAGAAGAACAAATCAGTGCC